GTTTTATTTTACACCTCCCTACAGAGAAGCGTAACTGTGAGAAAGTACAGCAAGACATTTTGGAACCACTAAGATGCTTTATTGGATTTAATTAGTTTGAGCAATTTCTTACACAAATTTTAATAAATGGATATACAAAGTTTATTAGAAGGAACACAAAATCAGGTTCATAACAAAACATAAACTGTATTACAAGTTAATAAAAAGCAAAAATAAATATGGACTCAAAACAAAATCTTTTCAATAACTGCAACAATTTTTTCTACATATGACTTTCTAATTAGGAATTCATTTTAATTAGAAGCGACTGAATGCAAAACAGTGAATAGAATGTGGAGACAGCTTAATGTAGTGTATTGAGACTATATGATTCCTTTAAACGCTTACAAAGTCCTTGATTTTAAGCATTGTAAGAAAAATTGTCATTCTTGGTTAATTTGACTATGAATGAAGTGGTTATCTTTCATTAATTTATTCCTCCATTAATCATTTAGAGTGTTTATTGTTTACCAGGCAATGTACTTGGTACTGAGAAGGCAGGGATGAATAAGACCCTACCTCTGCCATCAAGGAGTTCAGTCTAGCAAGGGAGAAAAGCATCTAAACAACTAGGTAGTTATCCTATGTGACGAGTGGGGGAAAAAAAAAAAAAACAAGTATATACGAGCTATGAAAATAGCCTGGGGAGTGACTACCTGGGAAGAGTGAGGAAAGGCTTCACAAACCAATAATGTCTGAAATGAATTTTAAAAGATGAAAGAAGTTAGCCAAACCAAGAGCAACAGTCCTAGACTAAAGAAATAGGTTGTTCAAGGGCTTTATAAGCAGTTCAATATCGATGGAGCACAAAATAGGATGGGGTGGCAAGGAAATAAATGAACATCAAGAGCTATTCAACGATTATAAAGGGTTCCATCTGCTATGCCAAACAGGACGGAATCTACCCTGTAAGGAGTCACTGTAAGGATTTTTAAAGGGGAGAAAATTAGTCAGATTTTAAAATGCACTAATTTTTTTTTGTTAGACTTCAAATAAGCATTTAGTGTTTCAAAATTATGAATAAGATACAAGCTACCTTTATGAACCTAGAGAAAAAAACTCATCTAGTATGTAATTATGACTTTTAAACTGTATCTGCCTGGCATATTATCTAACAAATTATAGTCAGTACTTGATAAATGTTTGATGAATGAACTGTGGTAGCCGGATTGAATATGAGTGGGCATGATGCTTGATAACAAAGACCTTAAAACGTAGAATGGCAAAAAGTGTGAAAGCTTGTTAAGGTTCTTCCTTCCAAGTCTCAGGGGAAATAATCCCCAGTCCTCAAAAGTGGACAATCTTTCTCTTACTGACTCCTTTTTCCTTCTATATAAGTTATTAAGTTATCAGTGACTTGAAGCCTTCTATTCTTTTCCCTCCCAACTTCCCTCTCCTTACTTCATACTCATATATGAGACTCTCAGCCATTACCCTAGTCCAGTTTTCCCTGACATTGTCCAAGACTAAATTTATTACCTCCTTCAACATTATAAACTCTGTCTCAGCTTCAAAATCTCAGGAATCCTCTAATTTCTAATTCTATAAGGCTCATAACCACTTCAACACCAAACGTTGCCAGATTATCTCTATAATGCCCACTGCTACCACCCCAAAACACACTTTGATCACCTGAAACCTACACTACCACAGCTCCACTCTCTCCACTAAGTCCTACAAATTTCATTAAACAAGGAGTACCGAGTTTGGTATTACCTAAATTCACGCGTATTTAACGTGTGGTCGGTCATTCTAGTGAACTGGGTCATACGCTTGTTTTTTCCTTACTACAGAGCTAAAGGACTTCAACAAGGCCTGTCACCAGGTAAGCGTTCGTGTAACTCCAGTACTGCAGACCCAGGGTAGCAAATTCAGCTGGCACTTGCTGTCATCACCCTCCTTCCTCCATCCGGGAAGCGGCCGGGAAAAATGACGGATGAGCAAAAGGGAGGGGGAATGCGGGAGCCCGAGGCGGGGGCCTCACTTCCGACTGCCACGCTACACGGAGAAGCCCGAAGGCCCTCGACTCTGCCGCAATGCACGAGAAAGCGCGGATCAGATTCCAAGGCTTCCCGGGTAGTCCCCAAGGGCAAAGACACAAAAGAAACTGCGCTGAAGAAACAGTCCTTTGCTCATTCACAACTTACCTGTCAGAAGCGGCGTGGACGGCGCCATCTTGTCCCGGAAAGAGAAACCCGTGCGCTCGGGTCAGAGTTCACGAGGGCCGAACCCGTCCCCTACACGTCTCCTCACGCTTAGAGACGGCGAATTGGCGTTTCCGGGGCCACCAGCCTCGGGGCCAATTCACTTCCGGTTGGAGAGCGCCGCGGAAAAGGAGCCGGGCCGCGCAGGCGCAGCGGCGGGGCGACGCTTCACAGAGCGTGGGCGGGCCGGGCCGGGGCCCGTGCGCCCGCCCTCTCCCTCCTCTCGGGCCGGCGCAGCCCGCCCTTCCGCGGGGCGGAGCCCGCCCGGTGCTGACGTTGGCAGCCGAACCCGAAGCAGTTCGAGGCGCCGGACTGCACCGTCCGGTTGTTGCTCCCGTCCCCTTCCTCTTTCCTCCACGCTCCCGGCGGCGGCGCGCGTCCCCGGCGGCCCGTCTCCTCCTGCCGCGCGCCAGCCTCGCTCGGCGGCCGGTCGGCGTCGTC